GATTGTGATTCGCCCCTTGTATTCCAACCCTCCTCTCAACGGGGCCCGGATCGCCTCTACCATCCTGACTTCCCCGGATTTGCGAAAGCAGTGGTAAATATTCCTTGCCACTCTCCAGCTACCTAGGTGTTCTGACCACCGCTCCTTCAGAGCTAGTTTAAATTGACCTCCAGTGACACACAGAACCTTACAGGTTCCACATGTGAAAGGGGATAAGAAGAAAGAGAGAAGTGTGCACTTTGTCCACAGAAATAAGAAATTTCATAATTCAGAAATAGCAGTTCCTCTTACTCTTTCATCTCTATTTAATAAAACCTGCCTTTCCCTAGAATCAAGTTCAAATTGAAGTAGCATATATAGGAAAACTTCCTTCAGAAGATCACATTTTAGTTTTTGTTTTGCAGTGCTGGGGATCAAACCCAGGGCCTCACACATACTAGGCAAGCATTCTACCACTGAGCCATCCCCAGCTCCCACATTTTTGGTTTTGTCCCAATAATAACGAGCATTGCATCAATATTTTTTCATATTTTTGGTTTTGGTTATCTGTCATCTAAGTCTTAGTACCTGTTCTCTAAATTAGTGTTACTTAATCTTTTTGGGGGGGGCACCAGTGATTAAACTCAGGGACTCAACCATGAGCCCCATCCCAGTCCTATTTTGTATTTTATTCACAGACAGGGTCTCACTGAGTTGCTTTGTGCACCTTGCCATTGCGGAGGCTGGCTTTGAACTAGAGATTCTCCTGCCTCAGCCTCCCGAGCCACTGGGATTACAGGCATGCGCTACTACACCCAGCTTAATCTTTTTTTTTTTTTTCCTATATTTTTTTAGTTGTTGATGAACCTTTATTTATTTGTACATAGTACAGAGAGTCAAACCCAGTGCCTCACACATGCTAGGCAAGTGCTTTACCACTGAATTACATCCTTAGTCCTTTGTATTTTCCTTTTTTAATTTTGAAACAGGGTCTCACTAGGACTGGCCTGGAATTTATGAACCTTCGCCCTCAGCCTTCTGGGTTGCTGGGATTACAGGCATGCACCACTGTGCTAAGCAGATTTTTATCTTAATATGTGCATTTCAGTACACGTTTGAGATCTATAGTGAATAAAGCTGACAGACACTGTGCTAGTAGATAACCAAAACACAGTTTATACCTTCAGGAAGTTTAGAATCCAGTGAAAAAGGTACACATGTAACATTGATAAAAGACAGAATGGAATAAATGCTACCTATAAGAGAGCTGCCGATTCAGGTGGAAATTGAGGGTGTAGTGAGGACTGCTGTGTGAGCTGTGCCTTAAGAATGAGGGTTTTTTCCCCTTAAAAGAAATGAAAGGAAAGGGAAAATGGACAGAGAAGCCTCCCTGAGAAAAGGCACAGACAAGGGACATGCTTTGTACAGAGTGTGCATAGAAAGTTCCATGTGGTTTCTGTGGTGAAAATACTGAGAGGAAGAACATCAAAGCTGAGGGGTAGAACCAACAAGGAGGCACCTTGTTGATATTGTGAGAAGTGGGCTTCCGCTCAGTGTAGAGAGTTCACCTAGCGTGCATGAGGCCCTGGGCTCTATCTCAATACCACAAAAAAGTAAGAGAAGACACAGATAATGTTTTTATCCTCTGAACAACAGGGAGGGTCGGGGGGCTTTCTAAGGTAGCGTCCACATGGGTCATACTCTTGATGCCTTTAGGACCTGGGCCTTGGAGTGAATGGAGCTGGATGAATGGAGCAAGAAATGTAAAATCATATGCCAATTGGAAAGAGGCCAGGGGTTCCACAGGCCCAACCAGTAATCACACTACTAGAATTGTGCTGCCAACTTCTTATTTTTTAGGAGAAATTACAAATCTAAAATTATATGTGCCCGTTTTTTCTTTTGTTTTTCCTGGTACTGGAGATTGAATCCAGGGCCACTCAACCACGGAGCCACATCCCCAGCTTGTTTTATTTTTTATTTTGAGGCAGGTTTTTGCTAAGTTAGAGAGGCTGGCCTCAAACCTGTGATCTTCCTGCCTCAGCCTCCTGAATTCCTACGATTACAAGTAGGCGCCACTGCCCAGTGCTAGTACCCAATTTTGAAATGTTCACTGGGTCAGAAAAACATACCTAGGACTCTATATTTAGCCTTTTAATTGACAGTTCGTAAACTCTGTTCTAGCCATTGGGTATTATGGTCATAGAGAGATGGTTTAGGAAAGTGAACACATAACACCAGGAAGATAAACTTCATGCTATCTCCATGATCCAGTTAATAACGAGATTTCCCATAGCGCCATGGGAATGAAATATAAGGGTAAATTCTGAGAAAGAAGAAGACTGTTCAGAATCAAGTGAGTGGTGCAGGATGCAGTGGTCCTATAATCCCAGGAAGCTGAAGCAGGATGATCACCAAGTTGAGGCCAGCCTAGGCAACTTAGCAAGACCCTGTATCAAAATAAGAAAGGACTAGTGATGTAGCTCAATGATAGAGAATCCCTGAGTTCATTCTCCACTACCACAAAAAAAAAAAAAAAAAAAAAATCAAGTGGCATGTGTGCACAGAAGAGTGCATTATCTACTCCCCAGAACAAATTCACCTTTCTTCTCTTTTAGCACAGCACTCTTACATTAGCATTACGTTATGTGGCCCTGTTCCATAGCTGATTTTTTACGGATTTGGCTCCTGTCACCCTCTGTTAGCTTTTATAAGCAAGGACCATTTCTCAGTCCTCAGTACCTAGTACATGGCTTGGCTTGTTATAGGTTCCCAGTGCATTGTCTTCATTGTGAAGCAGAAATGTTTATTCTACCCGTGTAAAGAATAATGTCATTGGGGGCTGGAGTTGTAGTTCAGTGTAAAGTGCGTTCTTAGCACATATGAGGTACTAGGTTTGATCCTTAGAGTCACATAAAACTAAATAAATACAATGAAGGCATGCAATGCATCTACAACTAAAAAAAAAAAAGGAAAACTGGAAACTTCTGGTTAAACAGAAATTTTTAAAAAGCGGGAGAATAATGTCATATTTTGTTTAACCCATAGCTTTTGCCTCCGTCTTCCTAAGTTTTTGAGTGATACCTTTGCTTAATATTCAAGTGTGTTAACTTTTAGTTGTGTGATCAAAGAAGTACTATAATTTAAAACAGTGCTATAGCTGGACGTGATGGCACACACCTGTATTCCCAGCTACTCAGGAGCTAAAGCAGGAGGATCGTTAAGTTCAAGACCAGTGAGAGCAATTTAATGAGACCCAGTCTTAAAATAAAATTTCAAAAAGGGAGATGTATGTCAATGACAGAATACTTGCTGAACATATGCAAGACTCTGGGTTCAACTCCCAGTACCAAAAATTAGAAAAAACAGTGCTACAAAATAGTTTACTTCCCTGGCCAATGACAACATGTCTCCATCAAGGACTAAGAATTGAGGCAAACAGGAGAGGAACTCGGGAGGTAAAAACATTGTTGGTATTTGGCAGAATGAGCTACCTCTTGGGGTCTCCTTGCAGGTTGCAGGAAGTGAAAGGCATGGCCGACCGCATCATTAGCATGCGGACCCAGCTAGTCTCTAACCTCAAGAAGGAGGGCTCCTCCCACAACTGGCAGCACATCACCGACCAGATCGGCATGTTTTGTTTCACAGGCCTAAAGCCTGAACAGGTGAGTGGACTCTGATTTCCCCACAGTTGACTAACGGATAGGTCCTTGTAAACCAGAAGAATTCTGTGTAAGTTGCCTGCATGTTCAGGGTAACCCTGAAAATGGCTATTTTGGAGCCCTTTTAGGTGAAGTTAATATATAGCTTTCATGTGTTGTTTTGGGCTTTATTATTTTTTGTTTCAATATTGGTGATTGAACCCAGAGCCTCGCACATGGTATGTAAGCACTCTACCACTGAGCTATAGCCTCAACGGGTTTTGCGGTTTTTTGTTTGTTTGTTTTAATATATATACTGGGATTTGGATCCAGGGATGCTGGACTACCACTGAGCTATATTCACAGTCCTTTTTAATTTTAATTTTGAGATAGCCTCACAAGGTTGCTATGGCTGCCCTCAAACCTGTGATCCTTCTGCCTTGGCCTCACAAGTCATATAGGCATGCACCACCACACTTGACTTTTTTTTTTTTTTTTTTTTTTTTGAAACAGGGTCTCACTTAAATTGCCCAGACTGGCCTTGAACTTGGTATCCTGCTTCAGCCCCCTTGGTAGCTGGCTTCACAAGCAAGAGCCAGTGATGTTGATGTTTTGAGATGGAGTCTCTCACTGTGTTGCCCAGGCTGGTCTAGAATTGGGCTCAAGTGATTCTTCCATCTTAGCTTCCTAAGTAACTGGGACTACAGGCATGCACCACATGCCTGGCCTGTTTTATTGCTGTTGATTGCTTACTTATCTGTATCCCCCCATAAGGCTACTTACTTCTGAGGCCCACATAACTCACTAGCTTGAGAGTTTTGAGGTTCTGGTGATGGAGTACAGGGCCTCTGCATGCTAGGAAGCACTCTTCCACTAAGTTGCACCCCTAGCACAGAATGTTTTGATTGCTTGTGGCCACTGCTGGTTCTTCAAGGAAAGGTAGGAGAAATGGCTCTTCTATGGCTGAATTCTGGTTCTGTGGTGTGATTAAGATTTTTTCCCATCTATTCCATCTCAGAATTCATCATATCTTTCATGATTTTACTCTAATTTGGCTCACTGAATCTGGGAATGGGGCATAAGTGAGTGAGAAAAGAGAGCTGTTATTTTTTCCATTTAACAAGTTGGCTATTGGGATGTGCCAGAGCTGGAAAACTGCCCTGATCGGTATCCAAAATGTTTTCTCTCCACAGGTAGAGCGGCTGACCAAGGAGTTCTCCATCTACATGACAAAGGATGGCCGCATCTCTGTGGCAGGGGTCACCTCCAATAATGTCGCGTATCTTGCACATGCCATACACCAGGTCACCAAGTAATTTCCTGGTGCGAGAACAGAGACAACCTTTCTGTCGTCAGCCCCTGCTGTTGTGTGATTCACATGCAGGATGAGGGAGGGTGGATGGTGGAGAGGGTCATTTCTTTCAACCACAGTGCATAACACTTAGTGATTGGATGTGTT